AACATGTGTTTGTATAGGGTGACGACTGAAAAACTGAAGGGTTTGAAAAAGTCACAACTTGTTCATTTTCAATCTTTTTTTCTTTTTTTCTTTTGTAGGTTATAGAGCATATATTTAAAAAAATCCATTAATTATATTTCCAAATAAAATAATAAAAAATTTAATAAACATGGTTTGTACAGGCGATTGAGAAACTGAAGTGTTTGAAAAAGTCACAACTTGTTCATTTTCAATCTTTTTTATTTCCTTTTTTTGTAGGTTATAGAGCATATATTTAAAAAAATCCATTAATTATATTTCCAAATAAAATAATAAAAAATTTTAAAAACGTGTTTGTACAGGGTAGCGACTGAAAAACTGAAGGATTTGAAAAAGTCACAACTTGTTCATTTTCAATCTTTTTTATTTCCTTTTTTTGTAGGTTATAGAGCATATATTTAAAAAAATCCATTAATTATATTTCCAAATAAAATAATAAAAAATTAAAAAACCATGTGTTTGTATAGGATGGCTACTGAGAAACTGAAGTGTTTGAAAAAGTCATAATTTGTTTTCAATCTTTTTTATTTGCTTTCTTTTTGTTGGTTATAGAGCATTCTTTGGAAATTAAAAGTGCATAATAAAATATCCATTAATTATATTTCCAAATAAAATAAAAAAAAATTAAAAGAACACGTGTTTGTATAGAGTGGCCACTGAAAAATTGAAGAGTTTGAAAAAGTCACAACTTGTTCTTGTTCAATCTTTTTTATTTTCTTTTTCTGTAGATTATAGAGCATATATTTTTAAAAAATCCATTAATTACATTTCCAAATAAAATAATAAAAAAAAATCATTAAATAATTAAAAAATCATTCGTCTGTAAAAGTTATTTTTGTTTTGTATCATTCAGTCTTCCAGTGACCACCCTGTATAAATGCGCTCGGTTTCAATTATAGCGCATCGTCGTATCGAAGCTTCCTCTCTTATAATTACCTTCTTTTCAATTAAACCTAATTAACAACTGAACCACGTGCATAAATAGGCAGCTTTTATTTTATCCACTTTTACTTGTAGATACTTCTACATAGTGAAAATATGTTGCCAGCATGTTTGAAAACATGAAAAACCGGCAATAACATAATATTCGATAAAAACGGATAAAAAACAGCACGACTGCATTGATTGGTATTTTTCGCAGTTACAAAAAAGCGCCATCACGCTGCGTGACACTATCCAACACTAGAATTATCAAAATGATCGAAATGACCAATTTATAATTTTGTTAGGAAAACGTATTTTGACAAATTTAAATGACTTTTTGAAGAACGTGTAGATGAAAGCTTGTGTAATGGTTTTTCTTTTTATTTTGATGTCAATTTCATTTTTATTTCTGACTTTATTTCTGAATGGAAATTTCACGCTTCAGTCGTCGGTAGTTAATAGTCTATCGTTAAATAGCCTCTGGCACTAAAATGGCTAAGTTTACGGCATCGGTAAATTTCATGGTACTTTTCATACTATAAACAGCTGATTCAGCGGGCAATAATCTCAAATGGTCGATCGTTACATACTAAAGATCTCTCGAAACGAAACGAAACGAATCGCCGATTTCTAACTCGTTGACTCGCGTCGGTGCGTTAGTCACGTTTTCCTACGTTTCTTCGTTATCTGCTCGGCTCGTCGCTAGCAAAGCGGCGGAAAAACACTCGATAAAGAGGCATCGTTAATTTTATTAATCTCATTGTCAGATAAAAGGGAACGCGTTGCGAACTGGTGCCCGCGCTGATTGAACAGCGTCACCGAATCGCTCGAGATAAAATGTTACGTGGCCATTAGAAATAGATGCGCCGATGTTTCGTCACGTTGCGTCGATATGATATCATCGGACAGACGCAATAATTACGCGTGTAAACCAGACCGCGAGCAGAAACTAGAATTAACAACAGAGGCTAGATACTTACTGGCATCGAAAAATGAGGTAAAAAGCGATCGCTGCTCCTGAGAAGACTCGACTTCCGTATACGTGTGTTTATGTAGAGGGTGATTTTCCATTTTAATATTTAAATGATAATTTATTATAAAGCATTAAAATTTAAATAATATATAACTATATAAATAAAAATTATATAAAATTTAAATAATATATAAATATATAAATTAAAATTATATAAAATTTAAATTAATATATAAACATATAAATAAAAATTATATAAAATTTAAATAATATATAAATAATGTATAAATAGTATTAAATAGTATTTATTATATAATATTAAAATAAAATATTTTATAATAGTCTATTATTAATTATAAATACTTATAAATATTATTAAAT